GCTTCCTGACACGCTGAGAACTGCTAAGATTCCTGGATAGGAAACTTAGTTAAACTTTGGGAAAGAATTGGTTTGTTCCATTAAGTATTTGTTACTGGGGCCGGCCCGTGGCTCACTCAGGAAAGTGTGGTGCTGATAACGCCAAGGCCACGGGTTCGGATCCCATATAGGGATGGCCGGTTATCTCACTGAGTGAGCATGGTGCTGACAACACCAAGTCAAGGGTTAAGATACCCTTAACGGTCATCTTTAAAAAAAAAAAAAAAAAAGTATTTGTTACTGCCCACTCAGCACTGGGTTGGGCACTTAAAATGGGTTGTGGATTAAATACTTGTGACATGTTGCTCCTTTTGAGATAGAGTATCAAATTCCTTGTCAACTTCTTATAAAAAGTCAAAGTGGGCTCCTTTTTAACTTTTTACCAAGCCTGCCACTGCTGGTAGACCATCAGGTGGATGCACTATTGAACACTGTAAATAACATGGCATGGTTTATTTTTTACAGGTAAATTAAACCCAGGGATAGAACTACTGGCACATTTCTCTCCATCGTTAAGTCTTTTGAAATCAAAAGGTCCTAAACATGATTTACAGTTTTACTGACTTTCAAGGTTAATTTTTTATCCGTATATTTCTGTTATTTTTGAATTTGCGTTTAGGTTGTGCGAGGACACTATAAAGGTCAGCAAATTGGCAAAGTAGTGCAGGTCTACAGGAAGAAATATGTCATCTACATTGAACGGGTGCAGCGGGAAAAGGCTAATGGCACAACTGTCCATGTGGGCATTCACCCCAGCAAGGTAGGTATTTTTGAGAATGCTTGAGAGAGAAGGAAATTATAGCAATTACTGTTGGCAAATGTGATTGTTTGCCAATTTCACAGAAATAGTCCCTGATGTTAGATGTACTAGAAACCACGTCCTAAAGCAAATACTGTATTTGTATTGAAAATTCTAATATCGCTTAAAATATTTCTGAAATCAAAGTATCTTTACCAGTCATTATGTATATTTAGTGTACCTTTTCCTCAAAAGCTGTTAGTAAGCTAGTATATCAACAATCTAATAATTAACAGGTCTTAACATCTAAGGAAATAGGATAATTGTAAGATAAAATTTAACTTTAGCCCTGTTTGCTTTTGTGTAGTCAGCAGAATTGAATAAGCAGTAAGGCAGCCATACAAACCTGTGAAGTAGGTATTAAACCATTTAGAGGTGGGAAAAAAGCTGAAGCCCAGAGGTTAAGATCTCACAGGTAGTGAATATGTCTAAGCGAAAATAGAAAATGTGGTCTGATTCCCATAGCAGCAGATGCTTGCCCTGGGCTTTATGTTAATTTTTCTAAAATTGTAATTATTGGCAATTAGTGCACACAAATTATGGCCTCTTGATTTGTTGCTGTCTCTAATTTCTATCTTCCAAGTTTTTAAAAAAATGTATGTTTAATATAAACATAGTGAATGTTCAAATATTGTGGGTTGGGGGGGCGGTGGTTTAGGTCTTATGTAGGTGCCATAAATCTAATTTTCAAACTACAAAAATGTTGAAAGGCTATAGTTTAGTAAAACACCTGCATATGTCACCTAGAATTCTCTATTAAAATTTTGTCACATTTTCCTTACTCCTCTTCCCCCCCTCCCAATGAATTAGAAGTGTCATGACACTTCATCTCTAAATGCTTCAGTATGTATCTCCTAAGAGCAAAGACTTTTCCATTGTTTAACCTACTGTAGTCATATTTTTGCCTCCCACCTCTAGATCAGCTGTTGTCAGGGTCACCAATCCAGTGGCCAATACTTAGTCTTTTTGTAGTTACTAGTACAGCATCTGACAAGTTGATCTTTGGGTGGCTCAGAAGTCATCTTCATCTCATTCCAGTCTTAGGACTTCGGATATCTAGAAGCTCGTGGTTCCAACCTACACGTCTTGCCCTGAACTCCAGACTCGATATTCAGTTGCCAATTGTGTATTGCAACTTGGACATCTAAGTAGTACATGACATATTCAAACTCCTGATTTTGTCCTTGAAACCTCTTCTCACAGTTTTCCACTATCACAGTGTACGACAACTCTATCCTCCCAATTGCTTAGGCCAAAAATGTCATTTTTGAATCATTTATCATATATCCCACATCAGTCAATTAGACCTGTTAACTGTTATCACATTATATCTAGAATCCTGTCTGCTTGTTACCTTCAGTGGCCTATAAGACCCTACTTGATCTTCCCTCACCAGCTACTTCTCTGACAACTCTTTCCATTCTACGTGTTCTGGTCTGTTGGTCTCCTTGGTGTTCAACAACAGTGCTACTCAGAATATGTCTTCTGGTTAGAGACATCACCTGGCAACTTGATAGAATTGCAAATCCTAGGTTCCCGAGCCTACTGAAGCAGAATTGGGGGTTGGGACCTAGAGATCTGTTTTAATAAGGCTTCCAGTTGATTCTTTACATAATCAAATTTGAGAAACAATAAACACACACCTATTCTCCTGCCTTTGGACATTTGATTTCTCTTTGGGATAGTTGTGCCTAGATGGCTTGCCCTTTCTGGTATCTGTTCAAATGTAGCTTTATCAGTAGGGCCTTGCCTGATCACCCTGTACAAAGTAGCCCCTACTCCTCAGCATCCCCACATTGCCCCGTTTTCTCTTTATCAAAGTTTAACATTCATTCACTTGTTTTCTACACCATTCTAGAATTTAAGCTCCATGACAGCAGAGATTTTTGTCTTGGTCACAATGCTATATTTCCAGCACTGATTTAGTGCCTTCTTCCTTCCCTTACCTGCCTTTCTAAGACTAAAATTTATCATAATTTGGATGTCTTTAGGATTAGATCTATTGAAATAAGGTCTTTATTGTCACTTCACTAAAAGCTGTGTGGGTTGAAGTATGTGTGGAGGCTACTTTAATTTCCATTTATTTAATTGGATTTAATTTTTCTTACAATTTTAAAGTTACTTTAGAAACAAAAATATTTGTGACTTGGTTAGCTTGTTAAAGTGGGATGAGAGAAGTGGAATAGTTCATATATTTTGTAGTAAAAAAGAAGCTGATTTTATATTATAATTAAAAAGGTTTTGATCACTGATAGCATCTTGGATTTTCTTCTTTGTTGATAAGAGCATCAGTAAACATTTAAGCTAGGTTTGATTTGCTGGCTAAAGAAAAGTTAAATAATCATTTCACATTTAGGCATCCAGTACCCCAGATTTAGGAAAGGGGATTGAAAGTTGTATCTTCCTGTGTGTTATATTAGTAATTATTTAAAGCTTGGGAGTGTTTTTTTTATTTTTCTGCAGGTGGTTATCACTAGGCTAAAACTGGACAAAGACCGAAAAAAGATCCTTGAACGGAAAGCCAAATCTCGCCAAGTAGGAAAGGAAAAGGGCAAATATAAGGAAGAAACAATTGAGAAGATGCAGGAATAAAGTAATCTTACATACAACTTTCATTAAAAACTGCTAAGATGAAGACCCTTTGTTTTTTGTGTGGTGCTTTGGGACACTACCTTTTTTCAGTGGATCAGTCTGTATTCTTTGTCAGTCTTCGGATCTGGAAAAAGAAGTTCGGGTGACATTTGCTGTTTGAAGGCAGGCCGCCTCATCTTGTGTCTTGATTCCACTAATGAAAAAAATACTTTTTAAGTAGATTTGGTCTTTTGCATTTGAGCATCACTTCTTTAATAACTGAGAGATGCTTTTTTTCTAAGAATTTTTCGAAATCAGGAATGAAGAGATGGTGGGGTTTTTTTTGTTTTACAGCAGGCAGCAGCATTTGGGGGTACATCATAGCAAGAGGGAGCTCACTAAGGCCTACAAGAAAGGCTAATTGGGAGTACTTCCTCTCTTGAACCTGTCTCTTCCTGTTTCCTCCTCCTACTACTACTATATGGACATGCCACATATTTTTTAGATTGTTGCATAAAAACTTGTACTGCCATTGGACAGAAAGTCTTGCTTAAGCTGCTGTGACTTTCCAGCAGCATCTAGACCACTGTTTGAAGATGTTGCTCTAGAGTGAGAAGTCTCAGTTCTCTGGGCTGGCCATAGCCCCTTTACCATCTTTTCTGCACTGGTGTTGGGTGAGTGCCTTCAGACCAAAACCTAACAAATCTTTGCATTGCAGTAAGAAATCTAAACTGTTACCTAATCTAAAATGCAGGTTCTCTAGGGATTAGGTAATACGGTGTAAAGTGTTCTCAGTGTGTGCGCTCCTGCCATTCCTCACTTCAAGTTCCTAAACAGGCAGAGTGCATGAAGGCGGTTCACTTTCCAGGCAGGAGACGTTTATTGTGAAGGCTTTGCAACCATGGGGAATGGGATAAGAGAGCCCTGAGTTAAGTGACTTGCTTACCCAAAGTCACACATGTGACCGCCCCGGTTATCGCCCCGGCAGTGGCACCAACCGCGGTGTCAGCAGGGCTTTCCTGGCTGTCCACGACCCTAGCAGGACCCAATCCGGAGTCCAGAGGACTAAAGGGCTCCTTCCGGTCTGTGGCGGCCCCTCGGGAGGGGCGGGGCTTCCGGCCGGCGCGCGGCGGCTTCCGGGGGGATGGGGTGAGCGGCCTACTCTGCCGGCCCCGGCACACCCCTTCCGCCGTCCCGGCAGTCTTGGGTCGCCTGCTAAACGACCCGGGTTCGGTGGCCCACGGCCTTTTTCTCCACCCCGCAGCTGGCTCATTCATCGAGCCCTGAGCGGCCGGGTGGGTGGGGTCCGGGCGGGGGCCCGAGTCTGCGGAGGTCGGCGTAGGAGCACCGCACGCAGGAGGTGACGCCCGAACTGGCCTGGAGGAATGAGCAGGGACGCTGCACGTACGGCCTTATCTGCATTGTCATTGAGTCTTCGTGGCACCCATGGTGATGGATACCGTATTCTCCCCGTTTTATAAATGAGGAAACTGAAGCCCCAGCAACTTTACTTTAGTCATACAATAAATGGTAGGGTCAGAAATTGAATGCCCAAGCCTAGACTCAACCATACCGCTGCACTGCCTCGCTAATGACGTAAGTGACGTGTTTGACAAACGTCCTTTGAACATCTTTTGTGCTCAGCTCTATTCATTGCCCCCCCAAGGTGATACAGGTAGGTAGAAGCCCCAGCCCCTACATTCTAGGTTGTATACACCTGAACCAGTCGACTAAAGATGCAAAGTGCTCCAGTGAGTGGTACAGGCTGTTCAGAGGAGGGAGAGATGACCGTCAGCTGGAATTGTTGAATACACCAGGAAAGCGGCCGATTTGAGCTGGCTGTGGTTTGGAAGATCAAGAGAAGGATGCTCCTAGTCGGGAACAGCCAAAGCAAAGACTCACAGGTGGGTGGGGAAGGGAATAAACATGGGTTTGGAAATGTTGCAGTTTTCTCTAACCAAGCTTGTTTATCAGTTACCCCACCAGCACAGATCACACCAGGAAGCCTATTTGTGTAGGGCCACATTTCTTTCATGTTGCTTTAGAAAATGTATTGAAAGCAGAAATCTAAGGAGTAGGGCCGGCCCGGTGGCGCACTGGATAGTGCGCCGCTGCGGCAGCGCTCCCGTCCGAGGGTTCGGATCCCACGTACAGAACGGCTCCCGCTCACTGGCTGAGCGAGGCGCGGGAGCAACGCCAAGGCTTGCGATCCCGTCGCCGGTCCCCGGTCCGGTACGGGGGCAACACTGAGGATTGCGATCCGTTGCCGGACACGGAAAAAAGACAAAAAGACAAAAAAAAAAAAAGAAATCTAAGGAGTAGACAGGTAAGATGAATAAGTAAGTCTCTTAGGGACTGTGGGAAACAGGAAAGTACAGGCTCCATCTAAAGGAGGATGCTACATCTCCACTCTAGCCATTTGTTGCCAGGAAGCAATATTTCAGTGTGGCCAGATAGTCCCATTTTTCAAGAAAGCCAGAAATGTAGGTTTTTACGTGAAATCTCCCAATCTTACAGGTAAATCATTCCACACACAAAAAAATCACTGGATGGACCAACCAAAGTAGGTCTGTTACCCAAGTATGGCCCCTGGGCTGTGCTTTAGAATTTCATGGTGTAGTAAGGACCATATCTCATATTGAAGACTGAGGTTTTACATCGTTAGATTATAAGTTATTTCCAGCCTGTCTTCTTCATTTTTTATAGAATGGAGATGAGGCTTTTCCTTTTGCAGTTCCCTGAAGTATCTCAAATGGCAGGCACTCAATTTCTGAGAATTCTTGGTCTCAGTGAGGAATCTGGAAGGTGCTCTTCCTGGATCTCATTGAATACATTGTGGTTTCAAGTCTCTTCTGAGGACCACTAGGGGTGCTAATAGATATTTCGTGGAAACAAAGTCCCACATCAATGATTGAATGGCCCTGGTAGATGAAACAAACTTAAACTAGTTTCTTTACTGTAGGACTTCTCAGAGCATTTAAAATGTCAGTTTGCAGTGAGGATCTTCAACCCAGGCTTAGAGTAAAGAGCATTTTGTAAATGTGCAATTTCTTCAGTTCTGAAGTGGATATTTTTTTACATTTTTTAATTTGGATGTGTCTTATCAATACATTCATTTAGTATAGGTTCTGTTTTTCTTTTCAAAAGAAAGTTATCATTAAGTCAAGGCTTTACAATTAGTGGTGTCTTAGAATTAGGAATGTTCCATGATTAACGAGTGGTGCTAAGGAAGGGAATCTGAAGCCTTTTTAGTGGAGGACTTTCAGGACCCGGCAGCAGGCCCAACTTAACTGAGACTCTTACTCAGAGCTTTTGTAAGTTTCCATCTTTCTCTGCTTCTCAGGATTCTACCCTGCCCCTCAGCTCTGCATCTGATGGCTGGGATCCCAGGAACCTTGTTGTCCTAAGCTTGGAATTCCTGTGATTATCATATGGACTCTTCCCCTGGCCTCACCACTGTCCTATATGTTGGGGTTGTTCTAACCAAGGAATCCTGAGTATCAAGTTCTCTTCCTGAGGAATTCTCCAGTCTTTGTGGTGTGTGGACTCCGTTTGGGGTATCTCTTTTTGGCACAGTAATCTGATAGGCATGATATTTCCATTTTCAGAAGTAGTTCCTGCTGCCTCTGTTTGGAACCACCAAAACTGTACCTGAAAGTGTCTCCTGGCCTTGGAGTACTCAAGTTCAGTTGGACTCTGCTTCATTCTGGAAATATGTGGGCTCCAGCTCAGGCAGTGGCAAAACAGGCCAAGCTTAGAGACCTCCCAGGAAGGCAAAACCCCCTTTCCTTCACCCACGAAACTGGACTCATCTTGTTGGATATAAGACCTTTTCCTAACTTCTTCCATATAATATTCACATGATTGACTCTCAGAATCACTTATCCTGGCACACCTTCATCCCTGGCACCCTCCACTGTCTCTTCCCCAGTCCTGCGGAAGCTGCTCCTTAGCCCAGGCCCCAAAACAGAATGGTCCCTGTGGCAACAGCCAGTGTTGTTTCAGGAGGCAGTGACGTTTGAGGATATGACCAAAGACTGGAAGTATTTTGAAGCCTCTCAGAAGGACTGCTACAGAGACACGATGCTGGACAGTTAAGAGAATATGATCCCACAGGGTAAGGACTCAGAATCTTCCTTTATTAATCCTATGTACACTGTCAGGGGAAAACTGTCAATTTAAAAATATCCCCACTGATTTCTTCTTGATTCCCCTAAAATGAAGACAGACTCTTCAGCCATAAGAAATTGATTGTTTAAAATGTTCTGAAGTTAAGATATTATTAGCATACTGCCATAGAGATTTCCATTTATCCTTTCTCCTATTCAATTAATAAAGTAATTAAGTTTTACTGTATAAGCTAATGGTTTCATTATTCTATTTGTCTAAAGTCTAAAATTACTACATATTTATGATCTTACTGATTTCAAATTCTGTTGATATGTTCATGCTTTCAGTGGTCCTAGTTGGCTTTCTAGTTGCTTTTTAATATTATTCTATTTCTTTCTTCCATATAATAGTCTTCAAAAATCAGGTGAAAGAATTAATGAGGAACTTTGGAGGAAAAGTCTTCCAGATGGAGTACCAGCAAATTTAACTTTGTTATGTTTTCTTTCTCCCTTTTAGGATCTTTCTTGCAATTCCCCATGATGCCACAGAGAGCTGGAAATGATCCACCTGGTGTTTCAAATACAAGTGAAATGGAAATGGAGATAAGTGACATGAGAGAGAAGTTTCTTACAAGCGTAACAAAGTTGGTAGAAAGCAAAAGTTACAACAGCAAGGTATTTTCCAAAGAAAAGTACTTTCAAACAATAAAGGAAGTTAAAGAAGCTAAGGAAAAGGGGAAGAAGTCATCCCGTGATTATCGCCGTGCAGCAAAATATGATGTGATTTCTGTACAGGGCACAGAGAAACTGGTAGAGGCTACTCATGGAGAACGAGTTCGAATACGGTATTATGTACATAAAGAAGAGTTGTTTGATATTCTTCATGATACACATCTCAGTATTGGACATGGTGGGCGGACTCGCATGCTCAAGGAACTGCAAGGGAAATATGGGAATGTCACCAAAGAAGTCATTGTCTTATATCTGACTCTGTGTAAACAGTGTCACCAGAAGAACCCAGTACCCAAGAGAGGCCTTGCACCCAAACCCATGACTATTAAGGACGTGGACTCCAAATGCCAAGTTGAAATACTTGACATGCAGTCAAATGCTGATGGCGAGTTCAAGTTTATCTTATATTACCAGGACCACTTGACCAAGTTTATTATTTTGCGGCCATTAAAAACCAAACAGGCCCATGAGGTAGTCAATGTCTTGTTGGATATTTTCACAATTCTTGGTACACCCAGCGTATTAGAATCTGACAGTGGCATAGAGTTCACAGACCAGGTTGTTAACGAGCTCAATGAAGTATGGCCAGACCTAAAGATTGTCCCTGGTAAGTACCATCCTGGCCAAGGCCAGGCCTCCCTAGAACGAGCAAGCCATGATGTAAAGAACATGATAAGTGCCTGGGTGCAGAGTAACCACTCATGTCACTGGGCTGAAGGCCTACGATTCATGCAGATGGTGAAGAATCAGTCCTTCAACATTTCCTTGCAGCAGAGTCCATATGAAGCAATGTTTGGTTGTAAAGCCAAACTTGGGCTATATTCCTCAAACTTGCCCCGGGAAACTGTGGCCATTCTGCAAACAGAGGAAGAGCTAGAAATTGCTGAAGAGCAGCTAGAAAACAGCCTTTGGATCAGGCAGGAAGAAAGGGCTGAGATCGGAGCAGACAGATCTGATATGGATGAAGACATCGATCCCACTCCTGAAGCTCCAGAGCCTAGCACCTCACAAGGTGCCCCTGGTCTCTTCTGCTGGTGAACAGACACCTGCTGGGTGGACACTCACAAGTGTCTCTGTGGTCATTATACAGCCATCTGCGAACTGTTGCCAAAGGTCCCAGGGGAAGGGAGTGAAGGCTGCACTCTTAGGTTGAGTTGAACATGGGAGTCCTTGCTCAAAGGGGAAAAGCAGATTGGGTCTGTGTATTTGTTCCTTGGGCTGCCATAACAAATTACTACAAGCCTGGTGGCTTAAAACAACAGAAATTTATTCTCTCACAGTTCTGGAGTCCTGAAGTCTTAAATCAAGATGTCAGCAGGATTGGTTCCTTCTGGAGGCTCAGAGAGAATTCATTCCATGCCTTTCTCCTTTCTCCAGTGGCTACCTGCAGACATTGGTGTTCTTTAGCTTGTTGCAATTTAAGTTCATTATCTGCCTCTGTCTTTACATGGTGTTCTCCTCTGTGTCTCTGTGTATTCATTTATGTCTCTTATAAGGATGCCGTTAGACACCAAATTCATGTCATTGGATTTAGGGCCCACCCTAATCGAGGGTGATGTCATCTCAAGATCTTACCTTAATTACATCTACAAAGACCCTTTTTTCAAGTGAGGTCACATTTACAGGTACCAGGGATTTGAACTTGGACATAACTTTTTAGGAGACACAGTTCTACTCACTACAGTCAATCGAAGAATATGTTTGCCTGCAGAACAAGAACTGATAGAGTTTAAGAATGTAGAGTTGGTGGGACTGCCCTACATATATCTAGTACATATTCCTGCCCCTCAGACACATACCCCAAAAGATGGAGGCATCAGATGAAAAGACATAGATAAAGGAAAAGTAATGAGAAGAATGGGGGTTGATTCAAAATGCCCTAGAGATTGGCCCTAGTTCTTGCTTCAAGAGAAACCATATGTGGCATCCCTGCTCTGAGAGTGGCATGCACAGGGAACAGTGTGACTTGCCTGAGACATATTTTAAAATTAGGTCAGAATTACGGCATGATTGCAGTTTGGGTCTGAGTCTACGCCTCCAGTGTATAAAAGCATGTTGTATTCCTGGCACAGATCAGTGCATTCCAGGAAATGACCAACAGGGAAACAACAAAGTTTCTGGAGCAAAATGCAAAAGTTGGCCTGAGGTTCCTGCTCTAACCAGAGAGGAATGGAGCAAGTCCATTCTGGGTCATGGTCCACAGATATGATGAGTGACCAATGCAGAGGGAAGGATGATGCCCAGGAGCTGTGTGTTGTGCTCCCAAGGCCTAGAAGAGAGTGCCCCACCTATCAGAGGTATTCATCGAGTTGAATGAAGAAATCATTTTGCAGAGATGGGCACAGGGAAGGAGAAAGGGCCAGCATTCTCCTTCCTGCATATCTCAGAGCCATCTAAAAACTATCCTGATTGCCCCTCGTGCCAGTTTCCTCTTCTGTAAGGGGCAATAACATCCCTGATGCTGCCTGCCTCACAGGATTGTGAGAGACAAGTGAGATAATGCCTGTGAAGGGGCTTTCTTCATAAACAGTGAAGTTCTACAGTGTGACTTGTCTTTGCTACTAGCAGAGTCTGTCCTCCGTGTGAGAGTTGGAGACCTCCGTTCATTTCCATTTCTTTCTTCCCTTTTTAAAAAAAGACCTCTTTAGCCAATTATTTCTACCCACTGCATTCTTGAGATAGACCTTGAACACTGGAAATGATATGACATACCATTTCTTTGCCTCTGGCATATTTTATCTCCTCATTCCACAATTGCTGTTATTCAGCCACCAGCTCCTTGGTTAATTTGTTAATGGTCTGCTGCAATTCATTTTTTTATGATTATCTCAGTGTCTGCCACTGAGTACTTCTGGTTATCAACAATATTCTGTAGTCAAGTATTCTGTTTTATTCTTTGACTTTCTAGTTATTAAGTCTGTTAATGTTCAGTTCAAATTCTTTTAATATTCATGCATGATTCTAGCATGTACTCCTGTTTGGCTTCTTCCACTCCAGATAATCCATGTTGTGAATAGCAACAGATCGTTTGTATCGCTGAGTAGTATTCCACTGTGTAGATGTACCACATTTGTTTATTTGTTCACCTACAAGGCCTTACTTGATCTGCATCCCCTGCTGCCCATCTCTCCTCACCCCCTTGGTTTACTAGGCTGGAGATCCAGTCATGTTGAGGATGGATGTATCCCTCTCAGGATGCCACATGGAACACTCCCTCACTTCCTCACTTCCTTCAGGACACGGGGCCAATTCCAGGGTGCCAGGCAGGTGGGTAATCTGATGGCAGGGGCAGGGCTGGGGCCACCTCACTCACATCTAGGTTGGTACCAGCGGCCTCCCTGGCCCAGAGGATCTTGCTGGGCACTGTGGCCAGGTCAGTGACTAGGTCAGCCTGTCGTGCAGAAAGATGGTCTCCTTCTTTGAGAGCTACTGTGCCAAGTCCACGGCTGCCAGAGCCCACCACACTGCCAAGGAGTTGGCACTGGGAAGCAGACACCAACAAGAGCTGCCGCCATCACCAGTCCATGGCAGCCCCGGCTCACTGCCTGTCCCGTGCAGCTCTGCCCTAGGCCATCCGAGCCGCCATCCGCACACCCCCAACCCCGGAGACCCCCGGCCACCACTGTCCTGAGGACCAGGATCCACTGCTGCTGTTCCACAGCCAACTGACAGACTTCCATTTCTTTTCTGATTAAACTGTGTTAAGTTGGAGAGTATCCAGGGAAGCTGCATTATTAGACAAGAGGTGACATCACTTTCCATCTTGTTTTGGAGGGCTAAAATCTTGCTCTCCCTTGGCCAGCACCTCACTTTCCATTCTCCTTCCAACCCATTGTCCTTTGTAATTCAGCCTAGCAGGGTCTGGGAGGCCCAGCTTGACTGAAGATATTACCATCTCCTTCCCCATGCTGACCTACTACCTTCTGGTTGCTTGACAAACTGGGAACCACCTCATCAGCTCCTGTGGGTGAGAGGTGAGATGAGCCACCACACTGTTTTCCAGGGGCTGACTACAAATAACTCGGGCTTCCAGGAGCTAATACATCACTCTTCCTCTTTTGCTTCTTACTGTTGGCAGTGGGAAAGAGTCAGAGGTGGATTCCCGGACCCACTCTTGGCATTACTCTATATTATCATATTTCAGCATTTGGAATAGAAATCAACTAGTGTGCCACAGGCTGGTCTTAGCTTTCAAGTATATTTTGTCCACATAATGATTTTTAAATTAAAAAAATTAATTGCCAGCACTTTAAAAACTGGAGATTTAGGGCTGGTCAGTTAGCTCACTTGGTTAGAGCATGGTGCTGATGCCACCAAGGTCAGGGATTTGGATCCCTGTACCAGCCAGGTGCCAAAACAAAACACAAAAATACCTGGAAATTTCATATAAAAAATCTGGATGTCTAGCATTAATGATGCTGGATCAATTTGCTGTCCATCTGGGAAAAAATGAAGTCTAGTACCTAAACATTAAAAAAAACCTACAAAAATATTGGGGGGAAATAGATTGTCGTGATCTTGGAATGGAGAAAGCCTTCCTAAACAGTACATGAAATTTATTACCCATGAAAGGAAAGGTTAGCATATTTGGCTACAGAAAAATAAAACCTGTATGGAAAATAATGCCATATAAAAGTTAGAAAAGATAAATGCCAGATTGGGAAGAAATATTTGCAATATCTAAAACAGACATAAGGTACTTAATTTTAAAAAGAGCACCTGCAAATTAATAATGAGAAGAGCAGGCAATAGAAAAGGGACAAAGGCTACAGTGGAAGAAAAATAAATGGCTGGTTATGCTAACATGCCTATGTGCAGCTGTGATGAAATTGGAGCACTGGATTTGCAATCAGGTCCTGGCTGTCAGCTTAAATGATACAGACAAGTTATTTGAGAGTATTATTTTTTCTATTATGCATGTAGGAGAAGAGGAAAGTGCCAGCGATCCTGTCTTGATTTAAAATAAATCTTACAAATAAGGAAATATAGTACTTGCTGCATTATTTTCACAGCATCTGTATTAGTTTCCCGGAGCTGCCATAACAAAGTACCACAAAATGGGGGGCTTAAATAACAAAAATTTGTTGTCTCACAGCTCTGGAGGCTAGAAGTCTGAGATCAAGGTGTAGGCAGGGTTTTCCTTCTGAGGGCTGTGAGGGAGAATCTATTCCATGCCTCTCACCTGGCTTCTGGGTGGTCTCAGATGTTCCTTTGATTGTAAATGGCATTTTCCCTATGTCTTCACATTTTCCCTTGTACATGTCTGTCTCTGTGTCCAAATGTCCCATTTTTATAATGATATCAGTTGTATTAGGGCTCACCCTAATGACCTCATCTTAACTTGATCATCTGCAAAGATTGTTACCAAATAAGGTCACATTCACAGGTAGGGGGTTAGGACTTCAACATCTTTTGGAGGGACAATTCAACCCATAGCAACAGCCGATCAGAATGATAGTTTTTTAGAGGTAATTTTAATAAGGCGAGGCAACGATTTGTAAAGTCTTAGGGAACTTAGAAAAATCCCTCTGTTCAAAAACACTTGCAAGGGCAAAAATTTTTTTAACAAAAAACAGAATGAATTGGTACCAGGTTACTAACATTCATACAATTCTTTGTTTTGCACAAGAGAAGCAAATTGATATTATTGAGAAAGATCTTAATTTAATACCTTGTCCAACTAGATTATTTGGCCTAGTTTTATAACACAGAATAGTATCTCTCCTCCACATGTATAAGAGAAAGCGAATGTTGCCCTTTGTTAATTCTGAAGATTTGCGTTTTTAAGGCTAATCCCTGGCATTCTGTTATCATGAGTCCTATGGAACTCAATTTTACTGTGGGAGGGGGAAGGAGAGTGGGCTAAAAAAGGTTGTTTTTTTTTTAACTGAAGTGAGGAGCCTGTAGCATTTTCATCCATGGGGCTCAAGCTCTGGCTCTGCATATTAAGGAGATATGTAACCTTAAACAAGTTCACAATTTCACCTGTAAAAAGGAAATGATAATAATAACCCCAACTTTTAAAGCTGTGGTGAGGTTTACAAGAAAGGGTATGTGTGGAATTGGGGGGAGGGTGTTGCTTTCCCTCGAGTTTAAGGAGCTTTTCACACAATCCAGTCTACCAGGAATGACCAGAAAAATTAGGGCAAGTCCTTTCCAAAAAACAAGAAAGGGAGAGCTGGAGGCAGAGTAGCGGTCACCTGAGTGCTCTCCCACCACAGTCCTGCCTGTTCACATGCACAGCCACATTCCAAGCCACAGACCGGCTCTGGAGCCCTG